TCCTTCTTTTGTAAATTGTATCGCTTCCTAAGATCCCTCATCAGAAAAGTAAATTTTTCCATTTCTCAGTTCATGCATTGTGCCCTCACAGAATGCGCTCCATCGACGCTCTTGGCGAAGCCTTCTGTATTCGTCATATACTAGTAGTCTGATCGCTTCTCCCTTGTCCCCTCCTCGGCCGGACTCGAAGCTGACTGTGACCGATCGCATCAGGGTTCCTATCGCCTCGAAACTGGTTTTCAATTCATCACTTTGACCTGAATGGCTTCATCCGGCATATGAATTCTGCCTTGATGATGCCCGTTTCAAACCTTTTGCTCAAGGCCACATGCGGGCCAGTCCTGCCTGACCCCCTAACTTACCCCTTCTTATAATTCTTTATTGTGTGCCCTATGCATGCCGGTGCTGTCTGATTTTTTCTTATTAATGAGCGGGAGTTTTTTTCTAACATATTTCTAATCAAATCATACTCATTTTGTTTATTTTAGGATTTTGTTCTCTGCTCGCTTAAACGTCTTCGTAATTTTCTACTCATTCAATAACTATAAGTTAAATATTGTGCAAATTCTGTATACCTCGTCTGAAATTCTAAAATGAACGTTAAATGTATTCTTTCTTGCTATGAGCGGACCCCCACGGGACTTGAATAAAAAATTGTTAAAAGGACTTGCATTTCACAGTGGACGGGTTGGGAATGAACAGACATACGGCACATAGGATAAGTAGCACAGGTGATAAATGATATAAGTTTATTCGAGTATGCAAAAACGGAGGAGTAGCAAACGAGTATACGGAAGAACGAAAAATACGATGAAACGACTTATCGGGAGGTGTCAGAGGTTATTCGTCGGGAGGTGGTTACGGAAGCGTAGCTCCTGCAAGGTAAACGGAAGAAGAATGCCACTAGCGTGACAGTACATTAAAACACTTAAGGTCGGGTCAGTGGTCAGATATCCAACTGTTAGACTGACAATCAGCAACTAGAAAACACCCAAATTTGTCCGAATGAAAAATAATTTCAAGATCGGGCCGACATCAGAGTTCTTCAGTTTCTATGACGAACATATTATTCATGTCCGCAAAGCTACCAAAATACAAACTTCAATTTTTTTTACTGTACATATATGTTCTTTTTAAAGTTTTCGCGATTATTTGGCCTTGGAACTCAGGTTATTTTTAACTTAAAACAAACTCTCAATTCACGCTTTATTGGCTAAACAGACATCAAATCAATTGAATTCAAAGCGCAGTAGAAATGGACGAGTTTGTTTTATGTTATTTTTCTGAGTTCGAAGGAGGTTGACAGTGCCCAACGGGTGCTATAATAAACCTATTCTATTCTATGCTACTAGATCGGCCGCATAACGAATACTACTTATTGGCGTCATCCACAAGTACTGGAATAAACGTGGCGTTTTGAAGGGGGTTCAGAGTCGGCTGATCGACGTCTTCCGCTGATCAATTATGTGTGTTCACGTAAACGATTCCGTTGGCTCGGCATCACCATGCTACGCCAGAGCCGGAATGACGCGGGTACTGTTGTACCCATCTAAGCCATTCAGTGAGATAGTCGACACGTAGAGTGTTGTGTATTGCCAACCCAGACATAAACTCAATGTCCGAGGGTTCCCCAAGGACTATTCAAATCTCCACGGGGTGTAGAAGTTTGGTAAACGTGTTCGAACAAAGAGTTTTCGACCCATGGTACAACTTGCAAAGAAGAAGTTATTTGAAACGCACGGGCCGACTGGTTAACTAGGGCCAAATGGTCCGAATACGTCAAGGAAGGCCAAAATGGCATAGGTAATTGTATAGTTATGCAATATAAATTATATATATTTATGTGCTTATGGTGTCTACTGACATGTTATCTTTCTTCTTTATGCATACCGTATGTAACGCTGGTGACCGCGTGTATTTTGCATGCAGTCCCCCGTGGGTAGTAAGGAATAGGTATACCTTGGGTTGGAAAGGTAACTTATCAGACTAATATGTAAAAGTGCTCTTCTCGGAACAGTGAATGCAGTAGTCCACATGGATACTGACGGTTGTAGCGGCTGAGGACGTCAGGGGTGACACACACCAAAGTAAGGAAACGATGAGAAAAGATCCTGGCGGAGGCAGATCTGAACATAACCGTTAACGTCTCTTGATACGCATCCATACACAGGAGAAGAAGACATGTCTGGTAAGGGATATAGTGTAATATAACGAGATGAGCACGAGAAATGCATGTAATAATTGTTAACAGTACAGGAAGGATGAATTACAGCTGTATAATAACCTGTCTGGGTGAAGAGGCAATACCGACATGCCAGCTAGATAACCGGTGGGGAATGCAGCGCAGTGGACAAAGGCAGGGGAGGGCCGAAGGAGGGGCCGTCGTAGAACGGAGGAGAACGATACGAAAGTCACGGTACGGTGCGGGGAAGGGGTCGGTAGAAGTGAAAGGAAGGGTAACCGGTCATCTTCATCAGCACGCGGTTACGCCATCTCCACCCTAGGTCCTCACGCCGAAAAGTGTTACAACATTCAAACAATCCTGTTCGTGCCAATCGGCGTTACACGGTCTCCCGTTAACAAATAAAACTATTATCGAAACATGGCCTAACTCAGAAAGAATATTGCAGTTCTTCATCAGTAACGCTTTTCCCGCCGGCATATATTGGGAAGCCAAGAGCTAAAAAATGTATATGTTTCACGTTATTCGCTTATTTAGGAGATAGAATCCCTGCAGGAAGATATAATCGACAGCGAGGACGTCAGTCAGCCAGCTACAGCTCTTCCCACAGTAGATCTTGAATAATTCATTGGTAGGAGGCGCTCACCGATCGTTCATACGGAACTCACTCGTTCCGTTGTGCCTAAAGGGCTCTCTCTCGAGCCCAACAAGCAGCCGCACAGCGGCGGCTAATAAGCCAGAAATGGCAATTCCAGTCTCCCATGTCTTTGTCGGTAATGCCATTCTGCCTGAATAATTCATATATGATTTGCCAACTGTTTACTCCTCAGACTTCCACCTACTGATTCTCAACACCTTTCCAAAAATTTGGTCCTGGAGTTTACATTTTACGTTTGTAGATGTTGCCGCTATCTCATCTGATAGCTCTCCGTCCTTGACCGCTCTCTCCATTTTTCAACTCTTTGCAGACTAAGTCAAAGTTTGTCCCAGGATGTGAGCTTACGCTTGTATGAATCCACCGATATGGTCTAGTGATATGCGAGGGGCGTTAATTCCACTAAGAAGTTTACAATTCTACCAAAATATGATTGATTAATCGTCGCACTTTTAACCATCATTATGAAATGTCATAGCAACCACACGGAAGTATTTTAAAATAAGTTATGTCTGTAGTCGAAGAACCATATTATTGTCACGAGCAAATTGAAATTCCTCCTGCTCTTCCCGATATAATGAAACAGTTTACCAAAGCGGCCATCAGAACACAACCGAAAGACCCTTTGGAATGGTCATACGAGTTAGAAACTAAATAACCATTTACAGTAGTGGAATGTGTTCCACCATATAGGTACTTTAGAGCGCTGGCGAACAAAGATGTTCCACCCGTCAAAGAAAGACTTGAGATGCCAATAAGTTCTCAGAAAAATGATACCGGACTCACGCCTGGCATGCTTAGGATATTAAACAACCAGGTTCGTGCGTATATGCAACAACCACTAGCGATCTGTGTCATTCGATCTTTATGCGCTGACAGCATAGCTCATCATGACAAGGAAAGCTGTGTTTGCCTATTATACTGAGCCTTTGCATGTCGGGATTCTAAGTCTTTGGCTGATACTGGAAATTGTCGTCACTGACTTAAAATTCCGGCATGCAAATGTTCAGCATAATTGTCAAGCATTGCGTTCCTTGTCATACATTGCTACCTAAGCACCAGTCTATAGGCTGCTGCTTAAACTGCAATATATTTGTAAATGAACGACCGCAATAAAAACACGTTAAACTGATGATATTTACAAGTCTACTCAATCCTTATATAAATTGTGCTTTAACGTTTATGTTATTTTTGTGATTTGAATGACAAATCGATATTTGGTTTCCCAAAACATGTAATATTGCTATCAAAATTCGTGCAAAATATCATGGTACCATGTCATTTATGTGTTTCATTTTGACACAGTTGTTATTCACATTAGACCAGAAGGAGAATATGCTTTCCACTGGAATGAAATACAATCATGCTGATTTAAACTACCTAGACTCCCTTGCGAGCTTGGCGTCCGTCATGTTAACAGTACACCGTACAGATTGTCAAAGATTTATAACAATAAGCAGTATTATGTAGGCCTAAAGATATTGGAATCATATTTCAAAACTATCCCATGATAAAGGGCAAGCATTTAAAAATGAACATAGACGTTATCATTCTCCCCGAAGACAAAGAAAGCTTAACTGCGCTATTGAAAAAATCAGACTACAGTGAAATATTGTCATCATTAGAAGATAGATCAAATTTTAAGCCTCTTTCTAATACCTTACCAAGGGAGAGAGTTATTTACTGACTAAATGCTGAAGCATCTTACAGAGAAGGAAAACTGTTGGATATTGCGAAATCTGTGAGAAGATCCGAACTAACCATTGCCAAGATTTACGGTGTGACCAAAGTTCACAAACTTAACGTTACACTGCAAATGATAGTTTCATTAGTCGGTGCACCCAATGACAACATTTTCAACTGGCTACCCGACGAAACTCCACCCACTTACAAGAGATGGTGAAACTTCCACTCAGAATTCTATGGAGCTTCTGGAGAAACTGAGAACAATCGCAATTTCACTCATAAGCTAATGGTCTCTTTAGATGTCTTTCTTTTATGCACATCCATACCACTAGATTTAGCTAGGCAATGAACAGATGACCTAAAGTCCTGTGACACGGATTGTCTCACAAGTGCCTTACTTAAACTCGTGAAGCTTTGTTTAGAAACCAATTTTTTCGTTTGACCACCAATACTACCAACAACTAAAAGGGACTCGGATGGGATCATCTATATCTAGCTTTCCTATCAAGGTAAAAATGCAACAGCTAGAACCTACGGATATTCCACTAGTTAGCCTCCAGTTTTGAGTATATTATGTGGACGACACGTTTGCTGTCGTTAAAAAACCAGCTGAGAACGCCCCAAAACGGTGCCATCTCAGTCATTTCAGGAGTTAGACTGTCACATGAGGGAGAAGTCAAATATAAACTCGGATTTCTGGATGTTCTTGCGCAACGTAAAACTAAAAGAACATTACTCACTTGCGTTTTTTGCAAAAAACATGGGCACACTAAACTATGAGAGCAACAGCCCAATTTTTAAAGGCGGAGCACTGTTTACAGTCTGCCACATGAAGCAATAACAAATTGCTCCGACAAAGAAAGCTACCGAGTCTGACCAAATTATCTGCTCGAATTATTCTGTTGAAGTGATCACCCTGGAGATTTTGCACGTCGATGCTTGAATCAGCACGAGCCGAAAGAAATGAAACTAAGTAGTTCCCAATCAAGCGCCCAGAGCAAGTACTTGGCAAATCCTTCCTTGCATTATATGTTTAAATTCGTTGAAAGACACTTGGGGAAACATCAAATAGAAATGGAGCGCAGACCGACGGCTACTCTGCGCACTCAGCTTGTACACCGGTAAGATAATGTTGGTTAGCTTGATAAGAAAGGAGTGGTCTACAAGACCCCATGCGATGCCTGTAACGTCGTGTATTGTGGTCAGATGGGAAAATCTGCCACTGCATGCATCCACGAACGGTACTTGGCAGTTGAGAGGCGAGACCATCTGTCTCAAATGGTTACGCATGCACTTGATACCGTATACGCATGCGCCTGGGACTAAATTCGCATCGTCGGAGTTTGTCTCTTCAAGAACGTCGGGAGTTCTGTGAATCCATGCACCCCGGTGAGTCATGCATCGGTCAGTAAATTGATTTAGATGCTGTGTACAAAAATCAGGAAAAAACGTAAGAGACAAAGACTATTCATACAGAATGACTTACGTGGCGGCCGATTGCTAGTACAAACACTGAATTAGTATTGTTTTTAAGCACATTTTAAATTTTAACTGTTTTTGTACATTTACCCAAGTCTGAGGATGGGCTAGGGAACCATTGTTTAACATACACTTAATAAAGTTTTCTACTTCTCCCAAAGAACGCACTTACCCTCAAAAGCCTCGTGTATATTTTAGCTAGGAACGACAGACAAAAAGTCAGCTGGTAGAGTACTTCAGTGTAAGGTTGAAGAGAAGTGGCTTGCATTGGCGTTGCCTCTGGAGCGCTTGCAAGAAATCTGGCGTATCGGCAACTTCGGGCAAGACGTCAAGTGGCTTCACTTCCTCTCACTCGCGGCAACACAAATTGCACCGGTAATTTAAAAGCGTTCACTGCTTTATTATTGTTATCCATGCATAAAGTTACAGTTATTTCTTAAATGTACGCTAATGCGCTTGTTAGTCTCTTATCCAGCCTCAACTTTACTGAGCTTCCTTTGCCATCTTTCAGTCTTTGGCCCAGACACTCTGCCTCCTGTGCGAACTTTTGACATCTGAAAAAGACAACGCGTCGCCGCCCATTTCTTTTGACCTCTTCTGTGAGATCTACCGCTACTTGGGCTCGGTTGATCCAAACTTACCAACTGAACACATAGAACAAATTATTCAAAACCTGACTTTCGAAGCGTAAGTCAGAAAATTCTCTCTCGTATTTTCATTCACATCTCATAAACCCTAGCAAATTTTCCTTCCTTTGCGTGTAAACAAAGTTTATTTCAACGCATCACTATTCGGACTAATAATTGCAAGAGGAGGAATGCTTAAAGGGAGCAAGGGTCTTACCGAAACAATTAGAACACTTCAATAGTTATTCTTGACTCTGTTATTGTTTCAGCGCAACTGTACTTCGGAGCTTTGGCTGCTGAGCATGACCTCAAGTCCCTAAATTTGAAGCAAACTGCCTCATAATTGTTCGGTCAGCATTCATTTGCAATGCATGTCTTATATGCCATGTAAAGCAAAGTGTTAAGTCGACACTTAGCCCCTATAAAAGGCATACTGTTATACGAATCCAAAACTACGATTTGGAACCAGAGGCTCGTCATCATGCTAGTGACTGTGAGTAAACAGGTTGCCTCTTAATCATCACGCAGTATGGACTTTGTTACTGCTGGCAAATGAGTCCGAGTTCTCTCATGTTCTCGCTAGATGGAATGAAATGTGGTTAAATCCATAAATTTATTCCACATATTTTAGTTAGAAACATTTAAAAGTGGTCATTGGCGGGCTACCGACGCCGGTTGAAAACGCCCGATAGCCATTACACTTCCCTGTAGTTAGAGTGCGTGGATCTTTATACTGCGTTATTTTACGGGCAGCACTTACAACGCGTTGTAAGCAGAAATCACCCAAAAGTGGGAGCAGTTGAATTAAGTTCAAAAATACCGAAATCAACTAACAACTCCTCCTTGGAACCAAAGGTTTACTTCAGCGAGTTTCCGATACGTATAAGTACGAGAGAGCCAGTTCTTACATCATGACCTGGCATCTTTTAATTGATAATGGCTCTATATAGCCGTCTAAATGTCTCTCGAAAAGCCTTCTTTATTTAAGAAGTCAACTTTTGACGCCATCATCAGCAGTTATATGGAGTAAAACGGTCTAGGAAAACCCTCAAAATACTTGTATTTTCACGAACCATATAAAATAAAATCCAACTTCCATTACTTTAAACTGTATATCGTCTGAAGTTTAGGTAAAAATGTCATCACACATTCTTACCATCCCACTGTGCGCGTTCTTTCCGAAGGTACTACAGTGGATGTTTGCAATTTTCTACGGAAAAGCGCCTCAAGCCTATTAAATTCCCGAAATATTTTTAAAACAATTGACATGGTTTGTGAACAGGTTCTACAGAACTCTGGATATAAATCTGCGCACATCGAATAGGATCTATGAAACTAATAAGCATTTTCCAGAACAGACTTATTGCCTTTTAGTCAGTAAGCATCGAGGCGGTAAGATATAATAAGAGGCAGCCATAAAATTAACCATTTTTCGGAAAACTGAGCAAGCCACTGATAGTTTGCAAAAAATAATGCCGAACCTACGCATTATTTGTACAGTGAAATTCATCCACAGAGACCTCATGGGTTTCAAGCAAAAATTGACTTGCTGTGGTCTTTGACTTTATCCATAAATTTCCTATGTGGTTTCTCTTGCCAGTTATTTTTTTAAGAAAAGTCTATACCTACCAACTCCACTTTTTTAAGGAAAGCGTTTTTAAATAAAGCGATTTATTGGCCAGAATTTTTCCTATATTTAAGGAGCATTACCATATGGCCGTTAATAGGAGTGATTAGTCCCAGCAGTTATGTTTGCTATTCAGCTACAACTAATCAGTCGTAGAATCTCTTCGAGAGACCCTGAGAAAGGTTTCATTTGTTTTTTGACGACTGGACAGGAGAACATTTATGATTGGTGAAAAGTGATATTTTCGAAAATCAAGTGTAAAATGTGGCTATCGAGGGCTATTTAATGGCCGGCATGTATTCATGGAGCTGCAGATTCCTTGATCGGATGATACTTCGTTTTTGGATTTGTTTAGCCATAACGTCCAGAAAATATATGCACGAAGTATTGAAGTCCTAGACACCTTCTTGTCCCATGTCCCCAATCGAACTCAAAGTTCAGGAACTCGCGGCTACTGCCTGTGACTTGGACACTGGCGTCCTAGATACTTCCACTTAACTTTGATAAAACGATCCCAGAAACTACCGGAGTACAATTACTGTTAATATTCATAGATCAATTGAGAAAAAAACTATATTTGACCTAAAAGTCACTACGGATGACGTCTAATAGTATTTAGGACACTAACACCCTTTTGTACCTGACAAACAGTTTTTGGCCAAGGATACGTAAACGAACATCTTTCTCGGTTGCTAAGTCCGATCGGTAGTGTTACTCTTCGTTACCCTGCAAGAGTGTGCGCATTGTTATCGCCTGGAGGATGCCTTTAGTTTGCACTGAGAAACCTCGAATTCAAGTCCTTGTGTTGACGGAAAATAGTGATGTTCCAGACCTAAAATATAAGTGTCGTTTATACAGTGCAAGTGAAACGGTGGATTAAAGCGAAATGCCCACCTGTCTCCGGAAGTGCTGGAGGCCTCTGTGATGGCGGATCCATTCAAACGAACGTGACCGAGATCGCAGCCATAAAGTCCTTAATTTAGACGAAAAAACTTTCTCGGCAATGACTGTCGTGCGTCTACCACAAAAATGTCGCGAAAACTGCAATCAACTATAAGACAGGAAGCGCGACACCTGCGTACGCACTTTCACATAAAGTTCTAAACATTTGCGTTCTGTCAGTAACACCGGGAGAGGTGTTGTTGTGGTTTAACGATTCATGCTATGCTTCCTCAAAGGTTGTTGTATACTACGGACAACTCGTAGCATAAATTGGGCTTAAATGTAACAGTCGTCCTAATCACCGTCGATGGCGGCGGCTGCAGTCGTAGGTGATCGAGTGTCATCTGAATGTGTGGAGACTACACCTCAAGTATCACGTGGGAACGCATGCAGTCCATTTGGGGCACATCTTCAGCCTTGAAACCATCGGGACGGTGGACTGAGGTGAAGATCTCAACGGTAGAAACGTGGCTGTCAAACGATGACCCAGCCTGCTACCACACTGACCTGACTAAATGTGCACCAGGGGTACGGCTTCCTCCTCGACTCATACCGCCATGGGCAATGGAAATGCGGATGGCACTTTAGCAGAAAATCATGGTTAATAATTCCATCCCACTCTAAAATCTCTGATGGTTTTGAGTGTGCTCTGCACTATTCTGTGAGCAGAACCTGGTCTCTCCATGGGGAAACGGGTTATGGGGTCTGTTTCAAAAAATATGCGGAGCAAGCAGTTTGGAAACCATGAGGAAAAGCGTATGCGGATTTTGTTTCTAAGTATGGAGGTTCTAGTGGTTCTTTGAAAAACTAAACCGTTCTTCCCTTCCCTTGAATGTCATATTTGAGAAACCTCTAGTTTTCGTAAATCGGATATATATAAAGTTATTTTGTGTCCATTTTCCATCAGATGTGACTGACCACATAACGGCATCGGAAACCCGGCTGAAAATTCGGTCTATTTAAGTGGTGGTTCTTTCCAACGACAGTTAACGCTGTCGATTAAAGTCTTCTAATTCAGAGGCTCGAATGATACCGAGTAAGAAATAATTTGAGGCCGTGCTCCCAGATGTTATTTCGATGACCTCATCTGCTTAATGCTTTGCGTTAAAGTGCGTTTTAAACAATTTTTATGTTTCACGAATTTTGTGCGCATCGGCTAAGTCACTTTGTTGCAGACCTCATTTTCATTGTAACTTATCGCAGACGTAAAACTCCAAAGTTGGGACAGACAGCAATTCAGAACGAATAAACTGTGCAAGATCACAGAGGTTCCGCCACTAAAACAATGTTCATCTAAGCGTTAGTGCTTTATTTTTGAGAAACCTGTTGTTTATTAGGATTATATGATCAAAACGTTTTAATATCCTGTCTCACTCTACTCATCAGCTTTAAATACGAAAACTGAAATACTAGCAGACGCAAATGCATCGTAAATTATTTTTTGAAAATTTTAGGCAGCAACATTGTGGCCGCATATCAAAGCGAGAGTTTCTGCGCTTCAACGTGCACCCGAACCAATGCAACATTTGAGAGGGACCTGATATCACGGAATGACGTGCATTCGGTAGACGGCTTACGAATTTCACATAATTGCAAATGTCAAATAATCTGAAATCCCCAGTAAAGTGAATGAAGAGTCTTCGAAATGTTGTTGATCTCCGTTTTCGAGAAATAAAGTGAAAGAACACTGTATCTGTTATTTAGTTTCATGTTTGGACAATAATTCTGGATTATTGAGGGTTCGAACGGCTTATATGAGTAAACCACGAGAAATAACAAAACTCTTTCAATATGAGATAAATTGTGATGACTTAGTGAAATGCTTACTGCACTCCAATGAGAACACGACAATCACTCCAACCTTAGCTAGGGAACAGATCTGACAAGGAAGCAAAGCAACTGCGTAGACCTTTTGCGTGATGTGCAGGGGAATTCGACCTATCTAAATAACACACACAAGAGACCATAATATTTTATTTAAGATTTTAAGCAATTTTTATTTAACCCTCAAGACAAGCAACTATGTCACCAGACGCACACGTGCTATTTCACCAAGTGTTAATCGGAGTTCCGAAATATTTTATTTTGTCCGTAAAGACTACTTAAGTAGGGCTGTAATGTTAATCATCCTCTAGTACAATCCAAAAATATTTCAGTCACGTTAGGATGCTTGCTCTTGAGTGAGGTTCCTTCCGACCGCCCATAAAAGCTGCACTTTAAAAAATGGCCACTTAAGCGAAGTACAGTTTGCACATCTATATTTATGTCCCCACAAACTCGACATGTCATAGAAGACATGCACGGTATGTACATTCTTGTACTCATTCCGTGGAAAATTAAGTATTATTTGAATTTTGTACACAAAAAATACTTTTAGGTTTTCGAAAAGTCACAAATCACGAGACTTTCAGACAGTGACGCGTCAGTTCATAAGGCATCGTGCCAGTCCGCTCATTAATGTTGCTCATAAAGCATACGGCATGGTCCACATCCGTTAAAAAAACTGCACGAGCCCTACATGGTATCAATTTAATAGCGCACAGAAATGTACGTAGTTTGGAGACCCTGAATGCAAGTGTAGCGGCAAGTCGAGTTAAAAATCTTTCGGAAACTAAAGGTTTTTAGAGTCGATGAATACTCCTTCAAATATGAACTTAGTAGAAAACGTAATTTTCCACCAGATGAGTACGAAGAAGTGTATATAGCGCATGCATCCGATAAGCTAAGCTTAAATTTACAAGGAGATCAAACACTAGTGGAAAAAATCCACACTACTTAGGTAGTCGTTTCTGTAGACAGTGGGTGTTTTCGGCAGCTGGAAGGAAGACCGTTCAATCACAGGTATCCAGTTGCTGGAATATCTTGAGATTGCCCCGCAGGATAATTAATATTATAACCCTATTAACCTTTTCCACGCAAAAATACACTTTAGGATTTCCGCTAACGTCTCACGAGACGGCGATGGACAACCTGAAATGCTTCGTTGGCATCGACTCGGTGATCCGTATTGATTAAATGTGCGAGAATAGAAGTGGAAATCGATCGGGTCTCACCGCTGTCTATCGGACACCAACAAGCTTCTCTAAAGGCCTACACCAACGGATACTAGCAACGGCCGAGGCAGTGGCTATACGGTTAGCGAATCCAGTGTTATGCTGTCAGAAAACCCTGACACAAGCGCTCTCTCTGCCGTGGCCAACGCCAACCTTAAGTGATGACGACATGCTGCCTCAAATCCCTAATTACAGTGATGGGTACTCTGTGTACTTAATCCAAGAGCATCACTCATAGACTCTCTTACCCCCCTCCCCTAGCTCTAAGGCCCAAAACCCGCCGACCTCGTCATGCGGGCGGCGTGGGGAAGATGAGTGTTAATGACTTAATAATCCTTGAGACACCTATAAACACTGTTAATTCTGTACATTCATTCCTTCACGTAACGGTACTGGCTTGACGAATAATTGCCGAAAACGCGTGTTTCTCAACTTGACTTTTCAAGTGTAACATGGGAATATTTGCGGGACTTTCAAATTGTCAACCATTTTATGTCAACAGGGTCCCGGGATCGTTGTCGTTTCGGTTGCGATCGGGAATATTAAATAGGGTGGAGGGCCGCTCACCAAGGAATTATGGGGCATGCTTATCCCATAATGCCTTGGGACTCAGTGTTGAGCCCTCAAACATAGTCGCATAGCTTCTAGGAAAATGCAGAGGGCGAGTGCCGACAAAGGCAGCGACGAATGAAGTGGTCACCTCTGGACTACTGACCGCCATCAGCCAGCCAGCTTTACGAAGAAAATTGGAAGAAGTGAGTCTGAGTATACTGAGCCGCGAATAGGCGGAGACCAGTTGTACTGGTAGAGCAATTTGCTGCAATTAATTACTTTTGTAGCACCTGAAACAAAGCTAGAAATATTTGCCAAAGAAACAGTATTCAGAACTACTTCGCTGCCGAAATAAAAGAGAAGATAGGCTTTCGTCTGCAGTTATCTTGACAAGAGTGAAGAAAAATGTCAGTAGTTTGTGCAAGTACATTTATTCTTCGAGAATAATTTGGTTAATCTATGATCGAGCAGCTTCCTATTTGTTTGTTAACCGAGGGCACCCTCTGCTGTTATAGTTGCACAAAGTGACGCTTATAGTGTGTTAAAAATTACTAAAAAAATAAATTACGTTATTTCCAAACGACTTCCCCGAGGGTTGCGAAAGGAATATGGACCTCGATGTGTTGCAGGCGGTCCTGCCCCAAATTCTCCGGTTAAAGTTGAAACACGGAAATAGGCAGCCTTCTGGAATTTAGAGTGAGGCCCACCTTTTGTACGGGGAATCCATGGCCTCGTGTCTGACCCTTTTGATTTAAATTTACGAATGTTGTTTAAAGAAGCGAAAATGTCACAACGCGAAAGCTTCTTAGTTTTGGGAAAAAGTCGTCGACAAGACAAAAAAAGACATTGCAGGGAAATTTCCGCGGACAGGGAAGTATACATTTGGACGAAATTTCCGTATGCGATCTAAATCTCGAAAAGGTAACAGTTACCGCCTGTTTGCCATTCATTTCCACCAGAAAAGGCTTAGTGATGTGACCTCTGCATCAAAAGAATTTGGAATCAGGTGGTACTTAACGATCGTTAAATATTGTTCGGCCTGGAGGCGGCAGGCTTGAAAATCTTCGACTAAAACATTTTTGGAAACATATCAACACAAATGGTGGAATTAGTACAGCTTGTTCCGCCACCGCCGAAAGCATCCTAAGTGGCGCGTAATGATTCGGCCACAATTAAAAGGTTTCTTTAAGTTTCGCTTAAATAAAAGCGCGGGAGAAATTTTGCTTTCTGACAAGCCTTCTTTCGCGTTCGTTTTCGGGTGGAACAAAGTAGAAGCCAGCTTACTCATAAGTCCGCGCTGGAGAAAAAGCATATAACAGCACTACCCGGGTGCAGAGCGACTTTCTCAACGAATCCGCATTTTTTCGAAGAATCTCTCTGGCCAAAAGTATGGTGCGTCAGTACTTATGGTAGATAGCATGTTTTTTAAAGATATTTACTGCATCTTCAGGGCTTAGGTGTAAGTTAACCACGAAAATCCTGTTCAGACGCCAAGTGTCTAATCCAACTACCCTTGGAAATATGTTTTTGGATCGATAAGGCCACACGAGAGATGTGTACTGATTCTGGTTTAGTGTGTGAAAATTGTGACCTCAGCCATTGCTCAGGTTGTGATCAGAGGACTCAGACATAGGGGGATACGGGCTAGAGACAAATCACGAATATACCATTGTTATTATGAGATGCGATAGCTTTAGGCGTGCCAAATTATCTGTTTCCATGTATTGAAAAACACACAAAGGAGAAGCAAAAGAAGACGGATAGATCATAATACACGCCTGTAAAGTTCATTAGGAACAAATAATTTTCGCAGATACTGAAAGAAACTGTCATCACCGTTTCGCGTCTGTGATTGGTGGCACAAAGTCAAAGGAGTTCTTAAGTTATTCACTAAGTAAACTCGCATCGGAGAATCAAACGGATAAATTAAAAACTCAAAAGAGGGGGATGCGACCATCAGGACGAGGAATTTATTGGCCCGACGTCTCGGATTCTCACTCGAACTCATCATCAGTCACAGAAAGGGTTAGTAGAGATTGAAGGAGCGCAGTATTTGTAGGACACAGCCGTCCGGTAACCACATGCTTACAATAATTGCCGTCACTCGTGTCCATCGTTGTGGGTCGTATTTAATGCGATGATCGCTTGTCGGCCCGTACCCGTGTTGTTATTGGCCGTGATCCCATCACCGTAGTTAATTTTTAGCGTGACAGTTGCTTGGCCATTGGACCTATTGTCACCAGAACCATTGGTCACCCGCGTCCTTCCGCATGGTTAATTATTTCGCCCAGATAAAATCGCAGCACAAGATACAGAGGCGGAGGGTCATTTTACTTTTTAATTGAATGCGAGCCGTAGAATCATGACTTGAGCAGATCGCGGATCGCGAGGTTGTCACCTCTTACGGGAATTTCGGTCTCGTTAAACGTAAAGGTGTGGCCGAGTCCCGTCGAATGAGCCGCAATCTGAGAGGGAGCGTCAGTCCTCCTCACTGCCGCTGCATATTCGGTCATTTGCGTTAAGAGTAATCTTCCAGTTCCTCCGGAGTAGTTTCTTCAAGGGGCGGGAGCTAAGGGACAGCCCCTGTCAGTCGGAAGTTTATAAGGTCATATTGGGTAAGTATGCAATTCAGTGTCTCACTGTCTACATATGTAGACGTTTTCGCTACTTGGAACACCAATGGCGCTGTCAAGCTATCCGATCTAGAGTTCGCCTTTACGAAGCGACTCAAAAGGTCATTGGACAATTACGTTCAACGGCTTCAACGGAACAGTGACAGGTCTAAACGTACAGGTGAGTCAACTTCAAATTTTATGAAATTAATCCTGTCCTATTGAAAGCCATCCGGGATGCTCCACAGGAGATCGCCCTTAGTCCTTGCAACTGTCATCAATGCATCAAATTTTTCAAAATTATTTAATTCAA